CTAGAGCACATTTCACGGAATCTAGAGGACTATGTTGAATTTGGCACCATAAAGGTAAGAATAAATCATAGTTGAGAGGGCTAGATGTAATTATCCAAACTTAGAGGGGGGTTTTTGTAATTTGACCATACCTCAGGGGGTGTTTGTAATTTACCCTATCATTTATTATTAGTGAGAGAGAGAGAGAGAGAGAGAGTGCATGTGCATGTGAGGGCGGGTGTCGCCTCTCTGACACACACATTTCTTCTTCTTATTCTCTTTTTACCCTTTCCCTACACAATATATATATTATATATATAATATAGAGTAAAAAGCAGTTTGCCCCCTAAACTATGGGCCGATTTGCACTTTACCCCCCAAACAAAATTTTTTTGCACGTTTTTACCTGAACTCGTTAATTCGTTGCACGGTGCCCCCTGAACTCAATTTTCCGGCAATTTTGACCGGAATGTCAAAACATGTGCTTTGCACGTGAGATTTTGAGGGGTAAATTCGTCTATTCACTTACATGTTGTATATTAAATATAAATTAATCTTTAAAAAAATAAAAAAAAAAAAAAAAAACAAAACAAAAATAACAAAACAAAAAAAAAACCAAAAAAGAAAAATAGTGTCTTCTTCCCTTCGCCACCTGCCACCACCCCTCTCTCTCTCCGCCCACACATCACACACACACACACGCAGTTCATCAGTCCTGCTTCAATCGCCACCAACCCATGCTTTAATCCATGTTCATTTCCTCTAAAACCCGCCGCAAGACCTCCATTTTCGCCGCCAAAGCTGCTGCGGCCCAGGAAAAAATTCCACCGCCCGTTTGCCGTAAAATCCGTTTTGAAATACAACCCGTTTGATTCATCCATTGCTAATGATTCTGGAACCCATGTTCTTAATGTGGATCCCGTTTATGAACCCACCCCTCGTAATCGCCCCATTCGAAGAATTTTGGAATTTTTTTAAATTAGTGTTTGAGAGTTTTAGGGATGGATTGGGTTTTTGGGTTTTTAATTTTGAATTTTTTTTTGGAATATCGGTGGCTTCCTTAGCTGCAATGATTCAGTGCTTCGAGTGGAAAGCCGACGGAGTTTGTACTCGTCGTGTGGATATGGAAGAAGGGATCGGAATTACTTTGCCGATGGCTAATCCTCTCATTTGTTCTCATATTATCAGGCTCAACTCCATTCCATTTGGTATCTATTTTTGGTTCAATTGCTCAAAGAAAAACAAAAAAAAAAAATCACGGGGACCTGTGGGTGATTTTTTTTTGTGTGCAGGAATGGTGGGAGATGGAAG